CTTCTTGGAGACCTTCTCTGGAAGCTCGTCATCCCAGGTAACTTGCTTCCAGATTGCTTCACTTGCTGAACCCTGTTCCGATTTGACTCTGAGGCCAATCTTGACCACCCAAGCTTGATCCTTTGGAAGACGCTCAGGATGCGGCACGTGTGCTGCAAGAGCATTCACCTCCATCACAGTCGAGTGATCCGGCTGAATCATGGGCCCTGCGAAGGAGAAGTGCTGAATCTCCAGCTCAAAGCAGGCATCAACTTCTGCGGTCGCTTCACAAGAGTCCCAGCGAATCTCCAAACTCTTGTCACTGCGCACCTTGACCTCAAGGCCGGTGGGCTTTGGCGAAGATGCTCGGAGTGAAGACACCACGGCCATCTTGGGACCTCGGAAGACCTAGGAAGCTGAAGCGCTTTCAGGGGAAGCTGGGCCACAATGTCTGCACTGGAAAGCCCTGATCTCAAAGACAGCTGTCCAAAAGAAAAACTGCCCTCGAGTGAATTAGCATAGCAGGGCATGCTACGGGATGTTCAATTGCTGCCAACGTGCAAACTGCAATGAAAGCCCCCTCTTTCAAAACTTCTGCAACCACTTGGAATCTGGAAATCTCAGGGCTCATGGGATGTAGAAACCCACAACCCTATCTTGGAGCGACTTGGCCAGAGATTGGGCCCGCGACGATACGAGAGCTTCGTTGACAGCTACAGGAGCATCGTCCTAACAAGGAAAAGGTCGAAACATCTGGCACCATCACTTCTTTCAGATCTGGCAAAGACAAACAAACCCAGACCCGGCTGGCTGAAGAAGTTGGTGCAACCAGCCACCTGGGCCATGCAATTTTTGGTGCCTTCGATGCCCAGCAAATGATCAAAATGACATCCCACAGTTTGCCAAGCCCAAGCTCCTGAATGTGCTCACAGACCCGCACCAGGGAGAAGGCCCAGCTCGAACGGAACAGGGCGCGCCTGCGAAGGTTTACACTTCACACCGTGAATGTCACCCGAGGGAAATGACGCTACAATGGACCACCGGCTGTTGGAACTTGCTTGGACTCATCCGTTTTGGACTGTTCAAGGAGGACCTATAGAAACCAACCCGTTTTAACCATGGACTGGTTACTCCTGTTCAATTGGACTGCTTGCACATCTGGCACCTCAAGTCCAACACGGTGGATCGTGGGCCCACGAATCGTCGCTTTCGGACCTGTACCTCTGGAACCTCCCCCTCAAATCGTCGGCAAGCAACGGGGGCCCCAACAGCTGTAAGATTCACACCAAGAAGCCTCAGGCTGAACCTGAACACAACACGGCGTTTAGGCAGGGATGATACGCATGATGATGGGTACGGTACTAACTGTACTAACCTTCAGGTCGTACGGTGTCTCGTGAGACCTGCCAAACCATGCTCCATGCAGCGGTGCCGGCCAACTCACGGCCCGGGCCGGCCCTCGCCTCGACCATGTCAGATCCGCCTGACAGGACAACAGGAGAACAGATCGAACAAGTCTGGCTGACAGGATTTTCTTGGGATTAACAAAGCAAGAAATGTCAGGTGTTACGTGTCGGCGTGGGTTTTTTAGTCACAGTCCCTGGCCCTAACCTTCATGGATAGCACCCCTTTGTAAGCAACCTGGTGAAATTCAGCTCCCTGCTGCATCCAAAATACAGCTCGAGACTGTCACGAGTCAAGGGCCTCCAACATGGCTTCTGAAAACACCCAGCGGAGCCAAGGCTGCAGCGTCGCCAGAGACTTGGTCGAAAAAAACACTCGGACCACACGTGATGAAGCACGCGTGTGATGAGGTTATATTATTCGTGATTCGCGTGATGGCCACATATTCTTGCCACAACACATCAATCATTTCCAGCTCGCGGTCACAGACCACAGGCAGCGTCAAAGTCCAAAAAAGCATCACACAGTACAAGAAGGATGAGAAAAAATGGGTGAGCGAAGCATGTGAAGCTGAAGCAAAGCCTTTTGGTTCGATGCCAAAGATGTACCTCTGTACATGTGTCTGTGGAATTGGACAAACTAGTCACTTATCGGTTGACGAGCCACAACAACAAATCCTCTCAAACGTGCCAAACTGCCCTTCTTGATTCCAAAACCTGTCAAACACCATATTGGCTCAGTCAACCAAGTCCCTGTTCCAGCAGGCTTCCGTGCTCCAAGCTTTGCTTCGAGCCGGAGGCGAAAATCACAAAATCCACTCGAGCACTCCGTCGAATCACGCGCGTCGGATGCCGCCGCGCTGGGCGGCGGCGGCGCTGTGTCTAAGCTGCGACCAGCTCGTTCTGCTTCTCTAACCACCTGGGCCCAAATCGTGAGTCGGAATTGAGCCCTGAGGGACTTTGAAAGGATGAGAAAGACATGAGAAGTCCAAAGGTCATTGTGAAAAATATAAAGCAGGTTTGAAGTCACATAAATGTGCGTCAAGTCGGGGCCTCCACCACAGGGG